ATTATAAAATTAATTATACATAAAATTAATAATTAAATTATTTATTATTTATTATTTGATAAAACGACACACACACACACACACACACACACACATATACGAATATACGTACATACATTTATATATATGTTTATATGTACATATGTATAAACATATGTACGTACATATAATATATACATTTGTACATACGTTTATACATACGTTTATATATACGTTTATATGTACGTTAAGTAGTAATGCAGTAAGTGTTCTAACTCGGAAGCTTCAAGGGGAATGCGGGGCGCGGAGGATTCTTCGGAGATGGGAGTATGACGTCATACGAAGTAGCAGTAAGACATTATAGATATTGGAGACTGCAGTCACATACAAGACAACAAAAAACATCATAAAAAGGGAAAATTGCCATGAACAAAAAACAATACAAATGATTAAAAATGGGTAAAACGAAAAGTGTTACAAGACTTCGCCGATATATGTTCCGTTTTTCGGCCAAGACGTAATGTAATTTTTCGGCACAATGTAATTGGCACAATGTAATTTTTCTAGAAACAATATTTATTAAATATTTGAAATAAATACGAGTTTCATAATTAATCAACATCTGGCTACTATCGAAATCGATGATATTGAAACGCAATGTCTCCCTCCCTTGAAGAACCTCGAATGTTTATCTTTTTTTGGAAGGGGACATGACAATGAACATGTTTTTGCAATATGTTTCAAGATTAGTAGAAATGTAAATGTAAGTGAAACTCAATAGAATGGTATTTTCATAAATTTTTATGAGGATGGAGCGTTTTTCGAAACATACTTTGAAAATAAGCGCATAATGCTCTGAAAAGAGGGAGTTACAGATGAAAATTAATTCAGTATAGAAATGTGCCAGATTATAATACGTTGAAATCTATGAAAGCGAACTCGTCTTATTAGTAAATTGTTATAAACATGGATCGAAATTTTAGTTAAGCAGAGCACAATCTGTTGAAACGATCCCACCAAATTGCTACCTTGAAGGAATATTTCGCTTGGATAGAAAAGTGCAACGAATTTATTAAACATAATTTATTAAACTTGAAAAATGCAATCATGTCAAGCGTTTCCACACCTCTCCACTGGATACAGACAATCTCTAATCGCTATAATTGCACAAGAGTACAAAGACTTAATTAGAAAGATAATTTCTGCATTTTGGTGATGATTACACAAGTAATCATATATAATAGCAATAACAGTGACAATAACGTGGAAAGATCTTTTGTTTGGCGAGAGATCGCAGCGTTTGAAAATCGAATTTTAACCAGTGCGATAATTAACATGACCTATATCGCGATGAGAAAACATTAGCAGTGTAGTACTCGAGCGAAGATGCAAGATGCACAATAGAAAGACACAACTGTATAAAAGTGAACACGATATTTAACGGTGAATTTGCGATGGATGATAAACATGCCAATAAAAATATTAATACTAAAATATTAATACTAAAAACTATGAACTCTTTCAAACATCGAATGCGTGAGTGGCATGTCATCGAACGTTGGCATCTTGAGGAGTTTCAAGAATGTGACAGTGGATGGGCGAATCATGAATCTTA